ACACACTCACACACACACACACACACTCTCACTCTCACACACTCTCACTCTCACACTCACTCTCACACTCACTCTCACACACACTCTCTCACACTCACACACACACACACTCTCTCACACACACTCTCTCACACTCTCACACACACACACACACACACTCTCTCTCACACACACACACACACGCACTCTCTCACACACACACACACACACACACTCTCTCTCACACACACACACACACGCACTCTCTCACACACACACACACACACACACTCTCTCTCACACACACACACACACGCACTCTCTCACACACACACACACACACACACTCTCTCTCACACACACACACACACGCACTCTCTCACACACACACACACACACACACTCTCTCTCACACACACACACACACTCTCTCACACACTCACACACACACACACACACACACAGATCTGTGTTTACAGCACAGATCTCAAGTCTTCTGCTCTGGAGCGTCATGTTTCATCCAGCAGTTCATCTGTTTGTCCACATGAGGGCAGCACAAACACATGATAAACACTCAACGCAAAGAGGAAGATTTCACTCTCAATCTCATTATTTAATGTTCATTCGTTTGTTTTATTCATGCAATATTAAACTTTTTTTTGTAGAAAATTATACACTGTGCTCTTATTTTTCGCATTGTTGTGAAACAAAATGACATTATCGGTAGATTCACAGTGAATGCGTTTAATAGTTTGTTTAAGCTGTTGATTACCACAAAATAAAGTTTACATTTAATTTACAGCGGTTCATTCCAATAGTTTGTAAAAACGGAGGGTTAAAGTTATTAGAAGATAGAATTGTTTTGTTTTTGAATAATGTTAATAAAGTGGAGGAAACCGCATAAAAGTAAGGAAAATGTTGAATAATCATTTAAAGAAACAATCTATGAATATGTGTATATGGATGTATTCTGGACTAATTGCATTGGCCATGCTGTCATTGTCATGCGAGCGCTTCACTGCCGTTCATAAACCCTCTCCCGTGTCCTCCTGGTTTACTAATGTTAAGAATGGAATACTAGCATACTGTATATAAAAAAAAAACAGTTTGTGAAATAGTATGCCGTATCCAACAATAAACTTCAAACAGTAGTACGCTGTCCTCATTATGTTGCTTGTTTAATGAGGTGTTTTATATTACCATTCCGCATCAGAAGTCTAAAAAGTGGTTTAAATTGATGTTAGATGTCACTTCCAGTTCGTTCCTCGCTCTGGAAATGCAAGGTCAAACTGAGGATACATGATATAATAGAAAGGTCACATACAGTTATGTTTTCACATCCCTCATGTAACTGGATTTCTGTAACTGGATTTTTTGTTAACAACTGTTTATTGAATATTCTTCTGGGAATAGTAATATAAGACAAACAGCAACTGTGCAAAGTTAGAACCCAACCCTGGTAGACTTAAAAAATAAATTAATAAAAAAATATATGTATATATAAAAAGTAAATAAATGGTAATAATAACAATTAATTAATAATAAATAAATAGCAATAAAATAATCCAATATACATGCAGTATTCAGTAAATAGTACGCTCAGATTCACTTCTGAGCACATTCGCAGTGGCTTATGGGAAATTAATTTTGTCCTCGTGCCTCATGGAGTCGCAGTCGTATGATGATACAAAAGCAGAAACTTAAACATGTTTTTAGATTCTGGTTTGCACTCATCTAACTGCACTGTCTCTCTGTCATGCACACTGTTTAGGAATGTCCAAATCCTGTTGCAGTGAGACCTGCTGTGTGTGTGTGTGTGTGTGTGTGAGTGAGTGTGGGTGTCTTTGTATCCAGTGAAACCCTCCCTCCCTCTTGCTTAGAAGCTGAATGAGTCTCTTTGTTTAACCAAAGTATCACACAGATGATTAAATCAGGGGAATTAGAAATCAGCCTCAACTCTCAGCACACACACACACATGCAGATAAGCAGGGCAGCATTCACACACACACACAGTGTTAATGCAGAGGCTGTTGAGATGTGCACTGTCATGGTATTTGTTTCAGCCAATCAGAATGAACTTACAAGCTCATAAAAACATTGCATTTGTTCAGAATGGAATACTAGCATAATGCATGTACACTTAGTCTAAACTACATTGTTGTCACATGACTTCATTGTGTTGCATGTTATGGAAATAGATCATGTCAAGCATATTGCATACAGCATTCAGTTCGGCATACGTCTTAAATGCAGAAAAGCAATATATTCTAAGTATACATAGGCTACTGTATTCTGCTGAAATGCATGGGTAATAACTATATTATAGGTAACAAATACACTATATATATATATATATTAATCATTGTAATAGTAATACACAATAGCCTACTGTTGTAGTGTGCTAATCTAAACAGTAACTAATTAATTGAGCGTCAAATATGTGGCACTTAAGAGTGACGTGGTTTGTCACAGGTGGAGAAGATACGGAAAAAATGAGCATTCAGGTAAGTGTGTGTGTATGAAGACAAGGAGGCGTTTGTACAGACTGCAGCTTTATTTAAAGTGAGGGAAGTTAGTCACTGCTCTCTTCTATTTACACTGATAAAGAAAAACAACAACACTTTTACCCACCACAAAATTACACAAAGATTCCAACATCAGAATAAAACGCTACTGATAAAAAAAAAACTGAACAAAAACAACAAATATAAATAATATTATGTAATATTTAACAAGAATGCTGTTTGTTTGCTGTTTCTGAATAATACTAATGAAGAGGGCACAAACTATAAAAGTAGGCCTACCAAAGGGAAGAAAACGTCTAATAACTGACCCTGACAGCACACTTAGCTACATCACAGAGATGTCTTTTACATCTCCAAGACGTCTATAGGACATTTCCTATCAGATGACAAAGGATACATATGATTCAGAATGAATGTTGACATCTTAGAGACGTCTATCAGATGTTTGTACACAGCAGATGCTTTCCAGATGAAGAGATCTTTAACAGACATCTTGCAGACGTACGTGTGCTATCTGGGAAACAGACTGCAAAAAGAGATGTTGTCAAAATGTCATTTATTAACTGGAAACGGCTAATTACGATGTGACGGAAGCATTGCATGTGTTTGGGGTAACGGGTAAAGACGTGTAATTACCGAGTCCTGGCACTGATATTTACACCCGCTGAAAGTCATAAAACACTAATGTCATTAACAAACACTAGACAGTGGTGAAGACTTTTCAGTGTAGGTATGGCAACACAAATAACAAGAGTAACAACAATAGAAAATATTAAAACAACGAAAACACGTCATTATTTGTTGATAAAAACAATATGGCCTTATTTTGGTTAATAAAAAGAGATTATTCATTCATACAAAAAAACTAAACATGGATTTACAGATAATAGCATCAGTTGTACGTTTGTTTGTGTGTATGTGTATCTGAGTGAAGTTTGAGTGGTCTCAGTGTTTGAGCGGAGGTCGACTTCCGTAATGATGTTTGGTTTGAGTGCAGTGTTGCCAACTGCTTTCAATTGAAAGTAGCTCAAACTGGTAGCTAAATGTCACTAGATGGCATCACATCTTTTATGATTATTTTGAATATGTTTTAAGTAAAACAAGTGAAAAGCAAAAGTGCTATATAGATAAAGCTGCATTTGGAGTACTATATGATATAAATATAAATATGAATTTGTGCATGACATGGCAAACATCTAGTACCATATTTTATATCTAAGTACCACGGTACTAACATCACCGCACCATGGTGGCGCCACAGCATCTTTTGTAAGGGTTGCACAGGTAAAACGTGTTTTCTCTCTCTCTCTCTCTCACCTCCAGAGCTTTCCGAGTGTTTTACTGAGCTCGGCGTTGTGCAGGTGCGGGTATTGATCCGCCAGTTTCCTGCGCGCGGCTTGCGCCCACACCATGAACGCGTTCATCGGGCGCTTCACGTGCGGCTTGTTCTTGCTGCTCGAGTTCACGCGCACGGGCATGGGTACGAGGGTCCAGTCGTAGCCGTTAAGCACCTGACTGACCGCCTCGCGGATGCCGATGGGGAAACGGTCGTCGTCTTCGTCGGACTTCACCGAGACCCCGGTGGAGACGCCGGCCTCATCATCACCGACGCCCGGCATCTGAGACGCCTGACCGGGAAGAGGGGAGTCCGCCCCGCCGGGAGCACCGGACGAGTGTCCGGGGGACATGGAGTGACCGTCGTCCGAGACCCCGGGACTCATGTCCACCTCTGACATGCTGTGCTCCTCCGCCGACATCGGTCCTCTCGCTCTGCGGCCACAGGTGTCTTCGGTAGGTCTAGTTGTTCTCGCAGGGCCTGTTTTTTTTTTTTTAGTTTATTCACTTAAAAAATGCGAATGCTTTTTTTAAAATATATATATATTATTATTTACTTTAGGTCCTCCAATGGAACGTTAACACGCTAGTTTTTCACACGATCTCAGTTCTTTTCAGAATGAATCCATCCGCCGTCTTTCTCAGGATATAAGATCTGCTGAAAAACCTGCAACAATACACACAAAGGAATGATTATCTTCTATTGTCACAGGTTGTCAAGTATTTCTTCTGAATGTGCAATAATATGAATATGGAGTTGTAATGGGATATTGCATAACCCAGCACTCAAAACGCCTCGCGAACAAGATCAACCTGTTCAGGAAAAACTGCTCCAAACACTGAGGCTTTGACTTGATTTAGAATTCGTCTTTTTTCCAGCAATCATACGGTGGCGTCAGTTCGCCTCAGCGTGTGTGTGTGTGTGTGTTATTTTAGCTTCACTTCTGCTAACAAGCTACTGTTGAAGGTTTGGTGGTATGTTCAAGCTCCCGGGAGAGAAAGCGCTGGAATAATGCGGGCTTCATTGCGCGCCGCTGCTGGATAAACACGGAGCGCCGCGGCTGGGGCCAGCTGAATTACGCAGTGTTTGTTGGTGAAAGCACAAGCGACGACTTATAACCAGCAGAGAAATACAGAGAGTCATTGCAATGTGTTTCTGAAAACTCAAGCGAGCAGCGAAGTGAATAGACGCGCGACGTTAGGAATAAAATATTTATTTTGCGTCTATAAGATCAATCAGAGAACCAGCTTTTCTCTCAGAGTATGAACTGAACACAACAGATATGCTACTGTTTTATATACGGCAAACACACTAGAGATGAATTAGGCCTGCTGTTGCAGGTGCGGGTCGAATCTCAGCCGAACACAAGAACAACAAACCATCCGACACCGGTTTGAATTCAGATCAGACACAGCTAGGTGACTTAACTTCTGTGATAACAGATTCATTTAATATCAACTCAATAATCACATTTGAGAGGCTCACTGCGTTTAGATCTGTGTCCGATTGCCTTGTGTGTTAAGCAGAAGTTTCTTTGGGACACAAATAGCCTGATAATGCACCTCATTAGACTTAATAATTCGTTTTTAGTAGACTAACACAGGTCCGTTTATTTAAGTAGCCTAATTGCGCTTTTGGGTTTGCTCTAGTTTCAAAGCGACTGTTTAAGAGAACTTAGAAGCGTTGTTCATTCGCTTGAACCACTCACAACTCTACATTGCTCGTTTTTTATCCGCCACTGCTAACTTGGTTTACTATTCAAATCTTATTCAGTGCATAGTGTTATTTCGGCATATTCTTGACAAGGTTCACGCAGTACAGTAGGGCGGGTCATTACGCCTGGTTTGGCAATAATTTGCCCCTAATTCACTCATGCCAAAACACCACTCTCCTAAATGGAACAATCCCATTAAAATATTACCAGACATTTAAACAAACGTGCTCAGATTTTACAAAAATTAGATTACTTCCACTAATGAGATACTGTTGATGGGATCTCTTGTGCAATTCCAGTGTTTTTATCAGAATATCGGAGCGTGAAACTTGTTATTTTTTTCTTTGTGTGTTAAAGGAGTGTAACAGACTTAACATATTATGTAGATTTTGCACTTTACGTTTTTCTCTTTTCACATTTTTAAATTGCACTTAAATCTGATGGAGAGGCTCACTGCGGTTAGGTCTGTGTCCGATTGCCTTGTGTGTTAAGTAGAAGTTTCTTTGGGACACAAATAGCCTGATAATGCACCTCATTAGACTTAATAATTCGTTTTTAGTAGACTAACACAGGTATGGGTCCATTTATTTAAGTAGCCTAATTGCGCTTTTGGGTTTGCTCTAGTTTCAAAGCGACTGTTTAAGAGAACTTAGAAGCGTTGTTCATTCGCTTGAACCACTCACAACTCTACATTGCTCGTTTTTTATCCGCCACTGCTAACTTGGTTTACTATTCAAATCTTATTCAGTGCATAGTGTTATTTCGGCATATTCTTGACAAGGTTCACGCAGTACAGTAGGGCGGGTCATTACGCCTGGTTTGGCAATAATTTGCCCCTAATTCACTCATGCCAAAACACCACTCTCCTAAATGGAACAATCCCATTAAAATATTACCAGACATTTAAACAAACGTGCTCAGATTTTACAAAAATTAGATTACTTCCACTAATGAGATACTGTTGATGGGATCTCTTGTGCAATTCCAGTGTTTTTATCAGAATATCGGAGCGTGAAACTTGTTATTTTTTTCTTTGTGTGTTAAAGGAGTGTAACAGACTTAACATATTATGTAGATTTTGCACTTTACGTTTTTCTCTTTTCACATTTTTAAATTGCACTTAAATCTGATGGCTCTGTAGAGCAATTTGAAACAGCATTTTGCGAGCAAAACGTTTTTCAAAGACTATAGCAAATATCGTCTGTATTTTAAAAAGCTCGTAAATGTTTATAATAGCTGCAACAACATGGATAAAAGTACTTCAAATCAAAGTATTCAAATCCGTCATTTAACGAGCTGTAGGCCTAATTATTATTTTAAAAAATTGCCAAATGACCTATGCGTCAAATCGTTTCGTCAAACACCGATTAAGCAACTTTTTCCATTAAGACAGATTAATTTAACACGACTCTGATTTACACATTCACGCAAATCTCGAAATGTATCCCTCGTGACACCAACTTAGTTTTAAAGAGTTTCGTGCTCAGAAAATGTGAGCGTTGCAGTATTTTACAGTTAATCCAGAAAGATAAAAAACAACTTTCTTCTTTACAATTACGCCCTTGTTACCAAAACTCAAACCACAGCAGAGAAACCCGGATTCACATGTAAATAAGCAGATGTAGAGAAATAAAGTCAAAGCAGGGCATTAACAATACTGATACTAATTTCTCTGTTTATCGGTTTCTCGATGCATTGCATTGCCGTATATTCCCACACAGAGTAAGTGATAGAGAGAGAGGTAATAATGTCAAGCGTCTTACTGCACTGAAGCAGGTCGCCCGCCCAGCGCGAGAGTCCGTCGGTTCAGCCCCCTCGCTCGCGCTCTGAATGCCTGCTCTGTGTCGCGCGCCGGGGCTTAAAGAGCCTCGTTGTGTGAGGAGCGAGAAAAAAAATCATTTCGTGGAAAAAAAAGTTCTTAAAGAGACAGCAGAGGCCCGTCGGGTCGCGCTCTGATTGGCTGCCGGATTTCGCCCTGAAGCTTCTCAACGGAGGGCGGTGATTTCTGCGGCAAATCAACGCCAGTAATATTTGGCCTCTTAGGGTGTAATCGTTTTTATTTTATTTGTGAGTTGAAGCATTTGTTTATACATTTATTCACATATTTGGAGCTTTATATGCTGATTTAGCTCTCAGTTATAAAGTGTTGGTGTAAAGTTGTCATATTATAAATAGTTTTAAATGGCCACTGTCATCTTAAAAATAAAGGTTCTTTATTGGAATCGATGGTTCCATGAAGAACCTGTAACATCCACATTTAAAGGTTCTTAATAGTGGGAAATGTTATATAGAACTGTAGGCCTACTTTGGGAAACAAAAGTGACACAATGAGTTGATGAAAAGCGAATACTAATTAAAGCTACTAATTAATTAAATCATAAAACGTCGAATTAAAATTCACACATAATTGGCAAATAAAAATAATCACAATAAAAGTAAAAAATTGTATATGTCATGTGACCATTAACCGACAGAGAACCGTGAACGTGCGAAAGTGTTGTTAATTTTTTTGAAAATGACTCCAAGTTGCCCGACTGACAAAGTTTGGGAAATGCTGCAATATAAGAATGCAAAAGTGTCAAATTAGCTACTGCTGTTACGTTAGTAATGTTATAATCAGTGTTGGGGAAAGTTACTTTTAAAAGTAATGCATTGTGTGAGATGAGTTAATGCATATTCATATTTATTTTAGAACTACAGTAACATCTTCTGATTTCTCTCAACATGCGGACAGGAGAGCTGTCAATCAATACATTGGAGAAAAAAGTAACTTGCGTTACTAATTTGAAAAAGTAACTCAGATATTCTCTTGTAAATTAAAAAGCAATGCGTTACTTTACTAGTTACTTGAAAAAAGTAATCTGATTACGTAACTTGCGTTACTTGTAATGCGTTACCCCCAACACTGGTTATAATGCAGTTTTATTATTTTGTCAGACTTTCACAGGTGGTCGCTGGTCCCTCATTAGGGTCACGGGAGGTTTCGGGTGTTTCCGATCACACTGGCGCGTTGTTGTCCTGCTTGTGCCGCGGGGTGTGCACCTCCCCCCCGCCGAGCGCCATCGGACCTGTCAGCGGCTCCGGCACCTGCTGTGCGCAACAACGTCTTCCTTCTTACTCGAGCGCGTGCGGAATAGCATATCCATGAGTGTAAATTCATCTAGGCTATTGAGTTTAATAGCTTGCGACTTATTAGCTGATTTGAAGCCTTAGTTGTATATGCGGGATGGTGTGCGCATGTAGGCCTGCAGTCGTGACCCGCTGGAATGAGCTCCTGTCGTGCTACGTGTTAGTGTCATAATTGCATCACATAAACACACAGAGAGCGCATTTAACGCGTTTAAACAGAAAATATAGAAAGACGAGAAGAGAGGCGAACGACGGGCCAAACGCACACAAACACGCGCGCTGTTCTGGTCAACAATAACCTCTTGTATTTCCATCTCGCGACGCCCCCCCCCCTCCACCCAAGCCAAAAATCATTGCCTTTTTCATTATCCATGAATGTTGACTCTGATAAGGGGATCCTGAGCATGAGAGCATCTCTCTGTCTCGGTCTCCGGCGCTCTTTGCGTCCTTTGTTTTATCTCAGGTGAATTGTAATCATGTGATCAAACGAACACCCCCCTTCCATTACCCTCTTAAATGAAAAAAAAAAATGAGGAACAAAAAGCAGTTCTGTGTATATAAAAAAAGAACAGAAAAGAGAAAAGACGCGCGTCTCCCTTTAGAGAGTCTTTCCTCCGCGTCGCTTCAAACGCACGCGTATAGAGGAAAAGCGCAGTCTCTCGCGGTGCGGATATATGCGGGAATCACGCGGACCCGAGGCCTGCTGCACGCTTGGATGTGAGTTTCTCCCGGTTGCTCTATTAGGGAAGTTGGGAAAGGCGCGCATGCATGCAGGGAGGGAAGCGAGGAGAAAACGGCGTTTATAGGAATATGACTGCGCGCGCGTCACTTTGTCTACAAGCACTTGAAACATAAACATAAAGCGCAGACCTGGGGACTAACATGTTTAGGGGATCATGGTGCAGTTATATCTTATGTGTGTTGAATTGGTGTGTAGCTTTGGGTGTTTGTCTTCCTGTGGCTTCTTGCAGCGATGTCATTTTGGATGATCGCGAGGCTTGTGTTCTTTTATGGCGTGTTTGTTCTGCCTTAACATTTGTGTGCATTGAGAATTTGTACTATAAATTAATTTATCGTTATTTTGTTTACATTTTCACAGATTATCAGTGAAAGTGAATTGGACATTCGTTCTCAGCAATGGTTTCCGTTTTTTTTAATGCAAAGACTGTTTTTAAATAAGACACAAATCTGATAATTACGATAATACTGATACGAATAATAATTCATTAACTGTGCTAGTTCAGAAATAATTATTTCTTATAATGTATTTTAGTTGAAATAAGTTAAACCCGCAGGTGCGCGAGATGGGCGTCATTACCTGGACTAATTACTAAATAATTAACACGCGCCTTTGCCTTTCTTTTGAAAGCTGTCAGAATTACAGCAAAATGGTTTTCATCTAATAGCATGCATCAGATCAGAATTATCCTGTTTGTATTTCCATTTCAAACTTTAGCTAAAGATCGAATGTAATAACAATTGTTAAAAACTATTATTTGCATATGAACTCGATGTTATTATTATTAATATTATTATGATTTCGTCGTTCTTGTTTTGTAATGATTGTTGTTTTTGTGTAGTTTTCATTTTCCGAACGACTCTCAATGACGCGTTTAAATGCATTAAAATAAAGCTGAAATTAATTCGTTTCCCGTCAAGTTTTTAACATTTTATAAAACGTAAAATAATTGTCATTTTGAAACGGGACATTATCGAAATGACTCGCTCGTTTATAATTAACGCGACCATATTAATATGCTATACAATAATTTATTTAATCACGAGTTGTATTATGAATTCGTAGCCTATATTAGTGTAAATCTCCGTTAGAATAGAGCGCGCGCGAGTGATTTAGGCTTATTAAACCAATTAATGACTGATATCAGTCCATATGCGATGAAAACTGTATCTGTGCTGCAATTAAAAACTTGTCCATCAGCTTTCTTTAAATGACAGTTTTGCCCTAACGAGCTGCAAACTAAAGTGAATTATTGAACCTACTAGTGGATTATTCTTCATTCTGTTGGAAACTGATGTTTTCAGCAAATCTCAAACATTGCTGGCTGTTATTTCTCTCTCTGCACAGTTTGATTGGATAATGTGTGGGTGTGTGTGTGTGTGTGTGTGTGTGATGGTATGAGTGTGTGTGAATGAATATGTGTGTTTTAGTCATGCAGCATGTGACAGTGATGCTGGTTGCCCTTGGAGAGGGTTGCTGGGATGTGCATGGGTCAAAAGGTCAATATGAGGACATGCATGTCTCATGATCGACTGATGGCTGGCCTTCACACACACACGCGCGCACGCACACACACACACACACACACACACACACACACACACCTGATCACATTGGGTCTGCATGTGTGCCAGTTTCTGGCCTGACAGGAAGTGGGGCGAACAAAAGATGCGAGTGGGCGGAGTTTTTATCATTTTTCCTCTGAGAACGAAAGGTTTTGCCCTTTTGTCCGCTTCAGTAATGACGGCTGGGGAATTCCTGCGTGTGGCAGGAAAGGTCAGCCGCTGATGGACTGAGCTCCTGCGTGCAGGGTTTGTGCTTCTCGTGTTGTTTTGCTGGCTAAACGATGTGGAACTGGTGAGAATCCCAGCGGAGTTGAGTTCCTGTGGGCGGAGCCTCGGCTTCACCTGCACCAGCGAGACTCACCTGTGTGATACTTTACTCTCTGAGAAACCACTCTAGCACACAAACACACATTTACTGAACGCTTTTACTTCATCTTTTTTATTTGCTGCATTTCAGAGACTTGCAGAGGTTATTCCTGTGGTGGAGTGTGTACGTGTTCAGTGCAGGCTTATTTAAACAGCACTGGTAACACTTTATTTTAAGGACCGATTCTCACGTTTAACTACCATGGATATCTCTAGCATATTGTCTGTTTATTAGTATTTGCAGGCACATATTAATGCCTTGTTCTGCAAGGCCATATTCTAGATCCCTTAATCCAACCCAGGCCTAAACTTAACTACTACATTACTAACTTTTAATAAGCAGAATTATTATTAGTTTACTAAGGCAAAAATTGTAGTTGATAGTTAGTTAATAGTGATAATTGGACCTTGAAATAAAGCATGACCACATAATTATATTTTTCTTTCATATACTTTTTTAATATATGTATATTAGTAAATACATGTTTTAAATATCTATACTTATTTATTAATATTTATACTTATATTTTTTATATATATTTTACTTGTTTTCAGTTCATATA